CAAAGGAGGGAGGAGAAAGGCTGCGTTATCAGAAAGGAGGACGAGGTTCCCTCTGTTGCTCAGTATTTAAACTAGCTGAATATATGCACAAATATTTTTGAGAAGTGAGTTTGCACTCACCTGTTGTAAGGCCACTAGAACTCTAACAAAACCAGGCACATGACAACTGCAAATGCTGAGTAAACAAAAGTCGTGGCATTTTTTGCTTAAAGGCAAAAGAACAATTTCAAAGATGCCTACTAACATGATCCTTCATTTGCCTGTGGTTTTAGACCTCAGCAGTCACGTTTCTCAGGTTTCATTGTTTCAGCCATGACATCAAAAACCTTTACAAAACGGTTTTGAAACAAAAGCCAAAAGCCTCAGCAGTAAAACCTGCAGCAATCACAGGCTACCAGGAGCTGCAGTTTTAAGGGAGTCATTTGTGGGAAAACAATTAAAACAGACAGTTTTGACTACATAGAAAACAAGAACCATCCTGAAAAGTGTTAGCTGAACACTTCATGATCAAGTAGAAGGGACAGATGCAGGCTCAATACTTAGTTTAGTTAAAACTCAGTTTATCTTACTTTTTCATTGGCTCTTATACCCTGCAGACTGTCACAGCTGCCTGAGATACTTAAAATCTATCATGGGGAGATGAGTCTATGTAGTCAGAACAGTACTGTCAATCTAAAAATCTTTTAGGGTATCTAATATTTCAAATTACACAAATATAGTAAAACAAATATACTAAGACTTTCTCTTCCCCTCCTACTTCATCTCTAGACGTGTGATACCAGATCAAGGTGTTTGTGCGCTATGCATGGAGGCTTGGATGCTTTGCATTGTTCCCTTGGGTGACTCAGAACTGAATTTCTGTTTTCTGCATTACTGCAATCAGCTTCATCTTGCTGAACAACTAGAAAACTTCACAAACACAGACATTTCTGATTCCTTGTTTCTCCAATTTGCCATTACTCTGAAAGCAGAGGAACAGCTTACACATTCACTTGCCAAACGGTGGACAATAACTTCACTGGAGAAAGGAAACAGGGTACCTCAGTCATTCATTCATCCCACTCACCATTTCCCACAATGCTGAATAATGAGATCATGGAAAATTATTTTAAAAATTTAGCTTCCCCGGTTTGGTCCTTTCTTCAGAATTAGAGCAGAGATTCCAACTACAATTAGAAATCATCCGTCCTGAGCACGGCTACCTGTTACTGTGGCTGTTCTCTCAGACCTCGGTGATGTCTTGGGTATACAAACACGATGCTGTGAGATCTCTGCTTACCATTGCAAGCAGTCAGAAGGACGAGCATCAGTGTTGGTGCAGGCGGCCCAAGGGGGTTTCCGACAGGGCTCACAACTGACCCTAGAAGATTTTGGTCCTAGGTTAGCTTTGAAACCATATATTTAGTGTTCCTTTTGGTTAAAGGAAAAGAAGTGTAGTCTTTTGTAGTCTAATGTGGTCACTCTAGAGCAACCAAACTGACCGAAGCATTACTAAGACCTATTTTTGGATTGGTCCCATGCAGATGAAAAACTTCCTGTCACACAATTTGAACATTCAGGCCTAAGATTAAGCAGAATGAGTAACTCTATTCAGCTGTAGAGTGTGAAAATCAGAGCAGAGTTGGCATCTGGTGAATTTTACTATGGGCAGCTGCCACTGTGGAGACCAGTCACAGTTACTGAGCAGCAACAGCAGCAATTTGTCCACAGTGGTCAGTTTATTTTTTAAATTTCCAAGGCAGCAACCCTATACAGCACTGCTTATTTAAACCTGCCAGTCAGTACCTCACCTAAAGTGTAAACACGGAGGTGAAACTAGGTAGATTAAATACCTTTGACGTGCTTGCACTGAAAGTTTCTGCCTCATCTTCACAGTCGAAGAGTTCTAATGATTCCTGCAGCATCTTACAAGACCTTCTGTGCACCCACTGCAGGTCTGAGCTTTCCAGACACGCTGCATTTCCAGAATACGACCACAGGAGAGTCACTGTGTGTTCCCAAGTGGCCCTTGATCACTACAGCAGATGAAAAAAGGGCTTGCTGCTGTCAAAACTACTCATGTACCCAGCTTCTAGCCACTGTCCTTTCCTAGGGCGAGTGAGCTGTATCATGCTGGCCAGCCACAGCAATTCATCCAGCCCTACAGCATGCCCAGACAGCTCTCTCCCATGAGCAAATTGTTCAAGCAGTGCCATCCTGTTCCCACATCCTTGCTAAAAATGGTAGTTGGGAGCAGACAATCACCCTTGTCAGACTAGTTCACCTCACCCACAGCTCCCCAGCTCCCAACAGGAAAGCGGGCTGGCCAGGAAACACCAGCCTAGCACGGCCACTGCAGCCTCTGCTAATCCCGTACCGGGAGGGGAGAAGTCTGGCAGGGTTTGTTGAATCGGCCTGTGCGTCTTGCCTCAGCAGTGGGGTGTAGGCACAGCAGTCTTGCTTTACTGGCTCGGAGTCACAACTATGTGTTTACGGAGCAGGGATAAGATCACTATCAGCTCTTTACGTTGGTACTCGTGGTGGGTATGTCAGCCCCTGCCTGGTGAACGCTTTTCTAGCGGCACTGCACAAGCAAATTAAGCCACTGATACAGAAGCAGATGTCTTTCTAGCTCACGGGAGGGGAATTCATTCCTGACATTTGTCAGAGGAGATAATTACAGGAAATCTCATTCTGATTTCAGTGACATACCAGGTGACAAAATGAATATTAAAAGTACATAATTCTTTTTGCTAGAAAATAAATCAACCTTTTTCTAAGAAAGCTGGAGACGGCAAAAATCCATCCATCCTTCCTGATGCAGAGGGAAGAAACAAGCACAATGCTAGTTTCAGAGCAGTCAGCCTGGGCAAGTGCTACAGCAAGTTAGAGACAATTTTGTGGCAGCAAGGAGATATCAAAATGAAGAACACCGGGACTGGACACAATTTGAGCAGGAATAGGGATTAATATTTTTTATGTGTTTGTGAGTTAACTACCCTCCTGGCTTATTAGCAGCACATTTCAGAGCTTGGACTGGGACAGCCACGGCTGAGCTGCAGACCCCATGATGTGAGCAGCACTTCCAAAAGCAAGGCTACCCAGCACGACGCAGGCTAGAAGGTAAGCCCTGGCTGCTGACAAACTCACTCAAACCAGGCTCATTACAGTGGTGGCAATAAAAGCCATGAACCTACTTGCATTGAACTACCCATTTTTCTTCTCTCTATATTCACAATCCAAAAGGAAAAGCAGAAACTTCACACACTGCTGAGCAAGTGAAGAAAAGATTTATTCCCTGATACAATAACAACGCACTACAGGATCAAAACGCAGCCTTGGCATTTTTCCTGCTCTTAATCATGTGTCAAGGTTGCTACAAAACAACAGTTGCACACAGCTGAAACCGTCTGGCAAACATGCAGGGGCGAGGCCAGCATATCCCTGCCGCTCAGAGCGGCTCAGGGGGAGGAGGCAGCTGGCCTCCTGATGGCCGCCCCTGCGGCGGGCCCGTGTCTTTGCTGCAGCAGCACAGAAGTCTGACTTCGCATCTGCATCTGTACCTTACTCGGATAAGAGGTGCAAAGTGCAGCTGTTTTGATCAATGCTCCCAACTCACACGTGAGCTTATCAGAAACCCCGTGCAGAGCCTTGAGCGGTAACCCCGGGATGGGCTTGGCAGTAGGAGGCTGCTGCCAGGGGACCGTGCCAGCAGGTTCCCACCGTGCCACCCAGCCGCGGCCCGCAGTGGGCTGCAATCCAATACCGTGATTCAAATAGGGAGCAGGAGGTTGGGCTGTAATTGTCAACCTGTGCTCTTTTCATAAAAGTTATAGGTGTAAAATACGTGCCACATCAGAGCTGGTGTGAGAAGTCTGTACAAGGAAGTAAAAAGCCAGATAGAGGATTGGGGTTTTTTTTTCCTTCAAAAATGCCCGGTGCGCTGGGTGCCACCTCCCCTACTTCTGAGCACAGCCACATCTGTACTCACACCCACAGGCAAAAAAGTCTTTGCAAGCAGATGGACAGATCGTCCAAAGGCGTCACCACAGCTAGCATGGCCAAGGGCTGGTGGCTCAGCACCTGATATGTTCTGCTGCTTAGGCAATAACTAGTTATACTCCATGTGACAAAACCAAATGTAAGCACCATCAAAAATAATGGCATACCTGCATGCACCATTAGCATTACTTCCTGAAGTTAATCTGAAGTACAAGTTAATATTCTAATTGTACCTTTTCCATTTTATTGAAGCACTGCTTTATAACCCTGCTTCCCTCTTCCTTCTTTTTAGAGAATGAACAGAAAAAGCTTAATTTAGCACGCAAATACCAAGTGACAATGCTTTTATTAGTATGTGGCCTCCAGCAACTCGGTGCTCGATAATTTTTTCAAGATCTGAAAACTCCATAAATTGGGAAATTTTTTTTTTGCACTCTACTTTGATCAGCTCAGTTCTGAAATCTGAATTCTGTTTTTTGAATAAATGGTTAAACTTTCTAAACATATGAGGAAGGGCTCACTAGGGTTACTAGAGGCTAGGTGCATAAGAGTTTGTAGCAGAAGCGGTGATGCAAAGCAGCGTGCTTGGCCCCACGCATCTCCATGCAATTTGCTACATTTGTTGACATCCTAGACACAGTAATTCTACGGACTTCCTCTTGTTTGGTGCTGTCCCACCTTGATGCTGCTCTTTCCTCATACAGAGCAGCAGAGAGTGCGGTTCAGGTATGAGCTCTGCTGTTAATTCAGTCACCCTGCAGCTAATTCAAAAAAGCAAACATTTAGTTCTTAAAAAAGTATTCTCAGATGATTGATTATCTCAGACTTTACTTCCCAATAAACTTAATACTGCTTGCATAAAGAGGGAAAAGAAGTATAAACTGGCCTACCATAACCTAAATCTGAGTTCCTGGAGTCATTGAAGAACATAAAGTTTGAGCCCAATCCTATTTAGTTCCTGAGATGTAAATGCATCTTATCCACAGCTCTGTCAGTAACCGGTACGCATATTACAATACCTCTATGAGCTGGTCTGGTTCACTCCCTTCTTCCACGGTAATTAATTTAGACCTTCCATTTCGTTCATTGTCCCGAATGCCAACAGCAACTTGAGTAGCCTTCAGCCGCTCGTATTTATTGCATGATGAGCCACACCACTGATAGATTTCCTAAAATAATTAAAAGCCCACACATTAGCAATAAGATTCAACACTGAACAAAATTATGAAATTAATATTTTATTAATAATTATCTTACTGGATCTAAACCACCAGATCATCAGTGAAGCTACATCTTTCAGAAATACTTTCCAGAAGAGATTTGTTAAGTCACCTAGATCTTTGTAATATGCAAGGTATTTATGTAATGTAATTTAGCACCCACATATTAGGAGGAGATCGCTCGATCTCAGAAGAGTCAGAGTTTTGGTTTGACTGAGTTTTGCCCCAAATACAGATGTATCTTCAGCTATCTAAAGAACCTGAAACTCCTAAATTTGCTTATATCTGGCAGTTCCTCTTCTATGCTACTTCAACGGTGCTGGTTCTCATCTGTGGCAAGAAACAAAGAAATTTCAAAATCTCAAGGAAAACCCTGACTGTATCTGCTCCTCAAAGGTAAAGTTAGATCTTTCAATCCAGTTTTTATTCTGGTGACTTTTTGCTGTATAATGGTATTTGTAACACACTCTGCTGCATCAAACCACAAAACCAGCTCAAGTGCGAATGGATGACATAGGTGTTTTCAGTAAAAAGTCTTCTTCACCAGAAGATTTTTCCTCAGTGTACAGCTGATCCAGTGCTCATGAAAGTTTATTAAACTCAGATTAATGCAAGCCCTTCCAACTGTAGTTACCACAAATGTCTTTATAAATTACTTCTAAAGATTTACAGATCAGGAATACACAGTATTTCTGGTCAGTTAAACCACCAAGTTTCTCCCCAGCAGAAGATGGACATATACCTGGTCCCCCTTCCTGCCTCGGGAACTGACTAAAATAAAGACAAGAGACACATCTGTAAAAGATGCCTCCATTCAGGAAACACAGCAGCTAGGAGTAAGCTGCTGCCACAGGGGCAATCCACCCCATCGTGGTTGCCACCTGTACAAGGAGCTCCTCAGACACCGCAGCAGCGTCTCTTCATGTTGATGAGCGAGCGCTCTGATGGCAGTAGCTTACTCCTAGATATCATCTTACGGGCCTTCAAGGCCTTCCTCTCATCTGGCTGAATAGGTAGTGAATGGGTATGCCCTGCACATGACGGGGAAAGTGCAATTCAACCAGAATGGAGCATGTTCCCAAGGCACCTCTCTGGAAGGAGCGCCACCAGAACCGGCCTAAGACAGGTCACCTAATCCAGTCACACCACAGACCAAGGACCCCCAGTTTTGGCAAGTCCTGTTATTCATCCTGAATGCAAAGCATTTCAGAATAAAGAATTTAGATTTCAGTCTTGATGAAAATTACTAAGAGGCAGAACATAAGCTGCAGAGCTGCTAGAGGCTGAGCTGGAAGGAGATAGTCAAAGGAAATTACTCAGCTTGGCTGGTTGCTTTTTTTCTCCCCTCCCTTCTTCTGGAAGAAAGTGATTTGATTCTTCTTCACATGATTCTATCAAATAGCCCAAATAGTACAGCAATAAAGGTACACAGTCATTTTCAACTTTAAAAAAGGTTGAACTGGTTTGTGTTCATCTACAACGCAAATAACAAGGATTTAATCAGAGCCCTCACTGAGTAAATTACTGGGGTCTTAGTTTTACGATGTATATACAACTATATAAAACTTAGATTTTGGATGAAAACCTGTGTCATTCAAAAAAAGTTTTTTAAGCCATTGCTGCTGACCACTATTGTTATTTAATAGCACTTGAAATGGTGGCTAGAGACAAGTGAGAGATGAAGTACAGCTTCTCAGTACTAGCAGATGCAAACTTTTAGAAGATGTTGATGCCATCTGCGTGCAAAAACAGTGCTAGTAACTTCTTTTCACCAGCTTGGACAAAATTAAAAACCCCAAACTCAGTGATCTCACAGCCAAGTTCCCTTCCCTTTAGAAGCATCCTTCAAAGACAAAGTTTTAAGCTTACATCAGGATTACACAGATTCCCAGAACTGGATCACTTTCAACTTGCAGATGTTATGCAATGAAATCTGTGAGGTTTTCAGCTTGCCTTTGCCAACTTGACTGTAAGCTTAAGACAAGGAAGAAAAAAAAAAATCTGCTTCCAAGTTCTGGTTTAAATACTGCCACCTTACTAAGTATCCAGAATCTGGAGACATACTTGGCTTCAGGTCTGAACCTTATCTTAAATCTGACTTTCGACATTTCCACAGGAAAAGAAAATATCTGTGCATACTCAGGGAAAGAAAATTTTCTAAAGAATTAACAAAAGACTGCCTTGAGTGTGTAGAAAGTAAAAAGTTTCAATTTGAGCAGATTTTTTAATATAGTTGTTACAGCCATGCACTGCTTCAGCCATCTTCTCCCAAATTTGGGGAGACTTCCCAAAACACACACTCCTTTAGTTTCTGACAATTTCAGCACTCAAACTTTCTCATTCTCATCTTGGCCTACCTCCTACTAATTGAGCTTATTTGAAATTATGTGAGAAAGCAGGAGTCACTAGAGATATAGCAGCAATAAATAGGAATTCTTTATTTCCCACAGTCTATAGAAGCAATAAGAGGAAGATGACATATATAGAGAATTAGCTGAAGAGGTTAGGCAGCTATTGCCTTATCTCTGCTGTTGTCATTTAACCCAGCAGGCAGCTAAACATCACACGGCCGTTAGCTCACTCCCCCCAGTGGGATGGGGGAGAGAACTGGACAAAAGGTAAAACTCATGGGTTGAGATAAAGACAATTTAATAGGACAGAAGAGGAAGGGAAAATAATAATGATAAAAGAATATACAAAACAAGTGAAGCACAATGCAATTACTCACCACCTGCCGACCAATGCCCAGCCAGTCCCTAAGCAGTGGCCCCACCCCCCCACCAACCTCCCCAGTTTTTTGTTCAGCATGACATCACATGGTATGGAATGTCCCTTTGGCCAGTTTGGGTCAGCTGTCCTGGCTGTGCCCCTTCCCAGCTTCTTGTGCACCTGGCAGAGCATGGGAAGCTGAAGAGTCCTTGACTAGTGTAAGCACTGCTTGGCAACAACTAAAACATGGGTGTGTTATCAACATTATTCTCATACTAAACCCAAAACACAGCACCGTACCAGCTACTAGGAAGAAAATTAACTCTATCCCAGCC